CTACTATTGCGTCTGCAAGGAACCGTCCGGCGGAGCTGTTCCGGATTGTCAGAGGTCTTTTAACTCCCGCCATCCCAGGCGGGAGCCCTGACAATTCGGCCACATGCTGTGAAGCATTTGCTCGGTTCTTTGCAGACAAAGTCGCTTTGATCCGTTCTGGTCTAGACACCATGTTAAATGCAGTCTCTGAGGATGTGACACGAGCACCTGCTTGTCCTATTTTGATGGATTCTTTTCAATTTGTGAAGCCCGAGGATGTGGACAAGATACTTGGAGGAATGAGGCCCACTGCGTCCATCCTAGACCCCTGCCCATCCTGGCTTCTGAAGGAGGCCAGAGGGGGATTGGCTGAGTGGGTAACGGTGGTGGTTAACGCCTCCCTCCGGGAAGGCGAAATTCCAGCAAGCTTAAAACAAGCTATTATAAAACCGCTGTTGAAGAAACCATCACTGGACCCCACTAAATTTGACAACTTTCGGCCTGTTTCCAATCTCCCCTTTTTGGGCAAAGTCATGGAAAGCGTGGTGGCCTCACAACTCCAGGTATTCTTGAGAGACACGGATTATCTGGATCCGGCACAGTCTGGTTTCAGGCCGGGACATGGAACTGAGACGGTTATAAGGGTCTTCGAGGCTTATCAAGGCAGGGGGGAAACAATCAAAGAAATCCCACCGCTGCCACCAATTATAATAACTCAGAAGAGGCGTCTGGGCAGGGGGTCAAACGAATCCCACCACCGTCCTTCCTTAAATAAGGAATTCACACCACCTTGGTTCTAATAGTGCTTGAGGGGATGTCACGTTATGTAAAACTTTCGCTGCCACCAAAACTAAAGAAATCACGAACCCTCTAGCTATTTTTTAAAATGTTAAAAAGGCTGTTTAAATTATTAAAAGGCTTTTTATTCCACCAAAGGCTGTGTGTTATCAAGGGCTTTCTGTGAGGGGAAACAGAAGAGGTTGATTCAATAAGGAAAAGGATTCAAAACCAAAAATGGCACTTGACTCAGGCTTGACTTTTAAAAATAACAAGAAAGAGTTTATTGTTTACAAATTATAGATTTACAAGTGATATGCAGGTTCAGAGGCTTGATGGTTACAGATAAAAGTGTTCTTGTTTCTTATAAGCGTATTGGTTACTTGAGAGAATGTTCTTTTCTTAGTTACAATTTCTTAAACATAAAACCCCCAGCTATTTTCTTTCCCAAAATAGCTGTAACTCAGTCTGCCACAGCCTACTGTGCTGTGCAAACTACAGGCAAACTGCCTTTTCTTCACAGAGACTCCTAAACAATCCAACTCCTACTCTAATCTCTCTCCAGAACTAAACTGCTTTCACTCTACTCAGAACTCAGCTGAACTAAAAACTGAACTGTCAAAACTATCTCTTCTCTTTCCCTCCAACTGACTAACTCCGCCCCTCTTCCCTAAACCAATCCTGGCTGTTGCTGGGCTGGCACAGGCCTCGGCCACTCCCCCTTCTCTGAACTGGAGCTCTTTCCCTAAACTAAGATGGCTCCAGCAGCTCTCTGCCAGGCCTTCTAACTGAAACTACCTAGCCTGTCTCTTCCTGGGCCCTGCCACCCTGGCTGGCAAGGTAAGGGATCTTTACAACGGTCTTGGTCGCCTTAGTGGATGATCTGCGCCGGGAGCTAGACAGGGGGAGTGTGTCCCTGTTGGTGCTCCTGGACCTCTCAGCGGCCTTCGATACCGTCGACCACGGTATCCTTCTGGGGCGTTTTGCGGAAATGGGCCTCGGGGGCACTGTTCTGCAGTGGCTCCGGTCATTTCTGGAAGGCCGCTCCCAGAAGGTGATATTGGGGGACACCTGTTCAACGCCACAGCCTTTGACTTGTGGGGTTCCACAGGGCTCTATACTGTCCCCCA